TAGGCAATACATTTAAGTGGAACACTGGTGACAGGCTCATATACTAATAAAAATAAGGCTTAGCAAAGAGATTTAGCCTAGTACTAATGCACTGTCCACCGATCTAAAGTGACCTATATGAAGATTCTGGCATGCCTTCATGGAAAAGAGAGATGAAATTTGAAAAAAAAAAAAAAAAAGCCAAAAATAATGGCTATGTTTCAGCATTCCCAGAGCCCAAAAGCACCCTGTGAAAAATTATAATTGTGGAATTATGACAAATGACATATCCTATATGTATAGAAGTCAATGGGGAAGGGGGTTGACCCATGAAGGGATATTTGTCAAGGTCTGGATCCATTTTTAGTTGTTGCAACTGGAGAAGAGACTGATATTATCATCTGGTTGGTGGACGCCAGGGATGCTGCTAAACATCCTCAAATGCCCAGAACATCCCCGTGGAAACAAATAATTATCCATCCCAAAACACTACAGTGCTGAGAAACCCTAATACAGAGGTAAAATCATGTCATTCCTCCTAGCAGTTTTCAGATGCTTGTCTGGGCCAACGGGTTACCAGGAGTTTTAATCTACAGCGTATTTCTCTCCTGTTTCCCTTGATAATTTTCTTTTTTTTTTTTTTTGAGACGGAGTCTCACTCTGTCGCCCAGGCTGGAGTGCAGTGGCCTGATCTCAGCTCACTGCAAGCTCCGCCTCCTGGGTTTACGCCATTCTCCCGCCTCAGCCTCCCGAGTAGCTGGGACTACAGGCGCCCGCCACCTCGCCCGGCTAGTTTTTTTTGTATTTTTTAGTAGAGACGGGGTTTCACCATGTTAGCCAGGATAGTCTCGATCTCCTGACCTCGTGATCCGCCTGTCTCGGCCTCCCAAAGTGCTGGGATTACAGGCTTGAGCCACCGCGCCCGGCCAGATAATTTTCTTGAAACATCAATTATGATATTGCAGTTACAAAATTAAATTTCACAATTTGTCACTCTTAGATCTTTAGAACACACAATTTGATAAAATTCAACAAAAGTAAAAAAACAACAGACTTTGAGAAAGGAAAGCAAAAGATTTAACAGATGAAAAATTCTAAAGTATTTAGCAGAATAGAGGAAAAAATGTAATAAGTATAATATTTATATTACATGCAAATGTACATTGCAATAATGCTTCATAAGCTTATTTGTATAGTCCACAGTGTAGTGATTCCATAGGAATGGAAAATAATTTCAAGGGACTATGTTCCTCAATATTTTAAATGAATACTTAATGCCACATAAAATATAATACTTAGAATAGGCAATACATTTAAGTGGAACACTGGTGACAGGCTCATATACTAATAAAAATAAGGCTTAGCAAAGAGATTTAGCCTAGTACTAATGCACTGTAAATATAGCTTTTATAATTTATTCCTCCTACAATTAATGAATATAGATGACGCATGATGTGATTGGCTCTGTTGCGGAATCAAGGGATACAGCTATCAAAAAGTCAATATGCTGTCAATGAGCTTACAGTCAACTTCTGGAGGAAATAAAATAATTTTTTTTTATTAAAAAACTTCATATTGGTATGATGGGGAAAACCTGGGAGAAAGGGCAGAGGAAGATGGATATAATTTATGTTGAAATCAAAAAGATGAAAAGGGGAAAGCTTTATGTGAAGACCTGCAGAGAAATGCTACAGGAGGAAGGAAAAGCAAATGTAAAAACCCTGACTTTGTAAGGAATTTAGCATGTTCATGAGAGAGGAGAGTCATAAGAAAGGAAGAGTATGCATGGCTGTCACCAAAGCAATAGGAAGAAGTTCATCTGGGGAGACCCTTAGTAAGGAGTTTGGATTTTATCCCAGGTGTCATTGGTAATTACTGGAGGAATTTAAGCAGAAGAGTGAACCATGATCTCATATATATCTTGCAAAGTTTTTAGGAGTGCCCAGTACTGGGATTTGCAAAGGAAAACACAGCTACAAATAATATCCTTTCGTAAGCTAAAAAAAATACGACAAAGAACAAGTCAACAACACATTTAGTATTATAGGGAGGAAATTAAACACTTAGTAATTTACTTACTTTTATTGTTCATGGATTGAAATAGTTCTGAAAGAGACCTAATATTAATATGTTGTCTATACATTTGTAGGTCCAATATAACTGTTGGAACAAGATATTCTAAAACAATACAGTCACATTCACGGGATATTCCTCTTTATTCATCGAGTAGAGCCTTATCTGGCCATTTAAATCCTTTGGGCTTGACCTCATTCCCCTTGCTGTTTGCACAGTAGAATTTATTATTATTTTATATAGAGACAGGGTCTCATTATGTTGCCCAGGCTGGTCTCAAACTCCTGGACTCAAGTGATCCTCCTGTCTCACCCTCCCAAAGTCTTGGGATTACAGGCATAAACCGCTGCATGTGGCCTCGGTAGGAATGTAGAAATTGTTGGTCAGCCCATGATGATGAACGCTTTCTTTCTTTTTTTTTTTTTTTTTTTTGAGATGGAGACTTGCTTTGTCACCAGCCTGGAGTGTACTGGCATGATCTCGGCTCACTGCAATCTCTGCCTCCTGGGTTCAAGCGATTCTCCTGCCTCAGCCTCCTGAGTAGCTGGGATTACAGGCACACGCCACCACACCCAGCTAATTTTTGTATTTTTTAGTAGAGACGGGGTTTCACCATGTTGGCCAGGCTGGTCTCGAACTTCTGACCTCGTTATCTGCCCACTGCGGCCTCCCAAAGTGCTGGGATTATAGTCGTGAGTCACTGCACTTGGCTGATGGTGAACACTTTCTAGAAGCCTCTAGGAAGAGAGTCTAAACAGGAAGAAATGCTGCGAGCTAAGACCCCAAAGGGTAATTGAGCTAAAACTTCAGTCTTCACGGCCTGCACAACCTAAATGAAGTGTGTGGTTCATTTCCAAGCCTCTGGGCTCGGGCTCCAGGAATGGTCCAGGTAAAGAGCAAGAAAGGTTAATTATCAGATCACACCACTGCAATTATCTCGTAAAATTTCAGGTCCTGTGGACCTGTCATGCCAATCCTGACCTGCAAATTTGAGAAGTTGCGACATTACTCTGTTCATTAAGAGATGTATTTTTTTTTTTTTTTTTAAATCAGAGAACCCAGTCTCAGGAGTTGTCACAGCTATAGCTGCCACAGCCTCCGGAGTAGCTGGGACTACAGGCACCCGCCACCACGCCCGGCTAATGTTTTTGTCCGTGCTAGCCAGGATGGTCTTGATCTCCTGACCTCGTGATCTGCCTGCATCGGCCTCCTAAAGTGCTGGGATTACAGGCATGAGCCACCGCTCCCTGCCTGTACTTGGTATTTCTATAGAAACATAAATGACAGCAAATATTCTACTCAGTAATTCTGCCTTCTCATGCCTTGACCCCATCCTAGTCTTTCCCACTACTATCCAGTCACTATTTTCTCCATCTACTGTAGATCCCAGTGCTTTTCATGACTGTTAATTACAATGAACACATCAGGCAAATCTCCATTACCCAACATTTTTATCTTTGACCCATATGCACTAATGCAAACTGCCCTCCCACTTCTCAAGCCCACTCTGGTGTTGGCTGCCCTTTCACCAACTCCTCCTACTGTGCAATCGTAAGTGGCAAATAAGTCAACTGATCCCTCCACATCCTCAACTAAAATCTAGAGTTCTCAAGAAGAAACCACCTCCTTCCTTGCCATTTCAAAATTATTTTTTATGATTACCAACTTTAAGCACACATTTTCATAATATAGTGAAACTCTTAAGAATGCTCCAATTACAGTCACCTCTTAGTTACATCTAAGAAGTTCAGCAAAGGTTGAATAATTCCAAGTGGGTTTATTTGTCCCTGAAATAAATCAAAAGATGTATTTGTGTTACTGATTTAACTTGCTGGATTGTCTTAGAACAGTAGGAATCCAGTTTGCGTTAACTGGTCAGAAATCAATGCTGTGGACCTCATCAAGTCAGAAGAGTAGAAATATTAAATCATATTTTTCTGCAATTAATCTATAAGGTGAACAATAAGCTAGTAAACATGTGTAACTAGGGTAGACTAACTACGGTGGACCAGTAGCTTTCCTGGGTCTCCAGTTTACAGACTTCTAATGTGGTGGGACTTTTCGGTATACAAAATTGCATGAGCCAATTTTTTATAATACATCTCTTCGTGTGTGTATATATATGTGTGTGTGTATAGATATATGTGTGTGTGTATATATATATATATCTCCATCCTAGTTCTGTTTCTTTAGAGAATTCTGACTAATATGATGAGTCTATTCCAAGAAATGACATAACTCAGTTTAGGAAATGATTGGGCTGTGTCCTGAATAAATTAGCTAATTAATCTAACATGATAACTTTAAATCATTGCTTCCAGCACTTTTACTAAAAGGTAAATTTCAGAAATAACTTCAGAGTAAAAGAAAATCATATTTTTATGCTGTACTAAAAGAAAATAAATGTTCGTGATAAAGTCATATTATATATTGTACCATTTGAATTATAGTTACTCCAA